AACATTTCCCAGAAAGCTGGAAATTCGTCGAGGAATTTCTATAAACTAGAAAATCCCCGGCGATTTTTCGGTTGATTTTCTATAAACTAGAAATTAATTCAAGATTACAGTGTAGGGCAAGTTAAGGTTTCTCTCAATTTCAGTTTCACATTTACAAGAAGATATATCTGTGCTGTGAGAGTTTGATGATTCTTAATTAAAATAACGTTAATAAAGTCACGTAAATATTGAGAATGAGCGGACCAAAGTGCATTGAATAACTCAATCTCTGCAAAGACATCTTCAATTTAAAGAAAAACTATACGCCATTGATATACTAGTGAGCTAAATTTTTCGCTTATTCGAGCGAAAGGTAGAAAACTGTTGTTTTACGCTTCATAGATTCGGATGAAGGTGAAAGAGCGCAAATGAAAGAAAAGAACGCATTGAAAAGCACCACACTAGTCTCCTGCTACACAGATATGTTTAATTTTCACCTTTTCAGACTTCAATCATAAGCAATTAGTGCAAGGCGTGACGTGCAACAGCATTCATCGTATCTCTCAAACTGAATTTTATTACCATAAAACATTGTTCTCAAAATACCAGACAAACCAATTCTCTTGAAAAATTTGTTAGATTTTAAGTACTCAACCCAAGACATTTGACAAAACTGGAACGTTTAAAAAACTATTGTCGTGCATGGACGGTTTTCAAGGTTGTCCAGAGCGTCTCAGTCCATGGTCACTGGCAGACTTAAAGTAGACATTGTAATCAATCACTCTTGATGTTTGCACCATTAATGACGTAAAGAAATATTGGTTTCGAGTATATTGATTTGGTAAGATATATTTGATGAATGGCCTGTCATGGTAACCACACAGGATGATACGAAGAACAAATCAGAAACTGTAGATGCAACAGCTATTTGTATGTAAGGGTATCATTATATTTGAATTGAAAAGACACTGGGTGAACAATATGTGAAATCAGAGTGTGTTCATGCGGTAAGCCGACCAGCAGTTGAACTGTGATACACACAAAAAGGTGATAAATATCGAGTTATCTGCCGGAATTTTGATAATGTTATGCAGGACGAAAAATGGAAACATGATACTCCTCATGGTCACAGTAAAATCACAAACAAATAAAAGCTGTGCAAAAGGGTGTCAGTTCGTCGCTCGTCATCTCTAAAATTCATGAGTAGCGAAAGACATAAATGCATTCGAACAGAATAGGGTTTAAAAATCTGTCTTATTCATGCAATGGGTACAGAACGTTAATTTGTCAATATGTAATAACTTACTTATATTGATGCCACTGGTGAGCAGTTATAAACGACAGTAACTATGAAATAGAACAGCAGGAAGGTCAAATAAATAAATCAGGTGTAACTTTCATTCAAGGTTTTTATCATTATGAAAGATTGAAGAAGGATAAGTAATTTGATGGCTACTAGTTAAACACTGAAGAGTCAGGTATGAAAGCGGGGATCCGTATGAAGGAGAAGTCAATAGTTATAAAAGAGGTATGCACCGAAAATATGAACGAATGGAAGATATGTGTGAAAAGAATAGAAGGAACACGTTGTTTGGAAGGCACAGACTATACCAGTGGTAGATTTGTGATAGGAGAAACTTTACCTACCGCAATTTTGATTTCATAATGATCTTTCTGGTTTAACAAGGAGTTAATCTGACTTTTCAAACAATTCTCAATACTGACTAAGCTAAAAAATGTATCCCTCCTGCCGGAATATTTTTCTTAGAACCGCCATCGAATAATGAGTTAACCGTTTAGCAATTATTAAAATGGACAGTATAAAATTGAAAAGAGAGAAGATTTCGGAAAATGTAAGCAAGGTGACAGAAATCGATATGAAGGTCACTGAATAGATGGACAGGTAAAAGGCTTTGATATCTCCTATACTAATGGCAGCAAATGATCAAATGAATGTTAGGATAGTAAGGCTAATGAATGAGGTACAGGTCCATCTAGTGGCTGATACGAGAGTCGAGGGAAAGAGGATGGCAAAAACGGATCCACACATATTGGGACGAAGGACCTAAATACGAAGAATAATTAAGTGAGATAAATACGATTCATCGTGATGATGAAGTGAGCACAAGCTGACTAACTGGTTAAATAATAGAGATAGATCTTAGGTTGCATTTTTTGTTGTGCCCCTTCTGGGCTAGGCATGACTTGATTTAAATTTTTTCAATACTAAATAATTAAGAGCATAGTTTAGTATATAATATACCGTGAAGTGAAAGAAAATTATAGAAAAACACTTTTTAATTTTTATAAACCTACATGGTAGGAGTACAAACAAATTCCCATCCGTATTATTACGCATAGATTCTCAAAGATCATTCATTTCGAAACGAAATATTTCTGAATTATAAAAACCACCAAAATACGAGCCGAGTTTCATATCAAAAGTTTTAAAACGCTTTGTATCGATTTCATCATTTGGAACAAATAGTATTCTGAGGTTATATCTTACACTCTAAAAATAGTTGTGTCGCATTATGTGTGGGTGTGTCGCAAACAGCTTCCCTATGTCGCAAAAGAATTAATGTGTCGTAGAATATAGCTGAAAAATGTGTACATTCTACGACACATTAATTTTTTTGCGACATAGGGAAGCTGTTTGCGACACATCCACACATAATGCGACACAACTTTTTTCAGAGTGTACAGTTTGGGAGCGCAAGCAGTATTATCTTATATACGACAAAAAAGCATCACATTTTTAATAATTGGTTGATAGTTTGGGAAGTCGAAAATCAACGAAATGGACGCTGATAAAGAAAACACATATTGGATATCTTCAGATTTTGCAATGCATGTTTCTTCTACTGAATGTAGAGTGGTATAGAAAAAATATTCTTTCTCCGTCCATCGATCACAAACTCAAATAACTTTGGACAGAAACGGTTTGGACTACTAAAACATGGATATCGTAGGTAATCAATTGTGACGCGACGGAATTACATCATAGCATACTGAAACTATACTGAAAAAATTGATATTAGATTCATGATCAGTGAGCAAAAGTTGCAGTTCAAGTATACATCAAGAAGCAAATGATTAGACTATGGGAGTTCTTCGGTCAGTCCCGTTACTAACTGCTTGCTTTCCAACGCACTTTTCTCTCTACAGTTTAGATTTCTCGCCACTTTTAATATACAAAAAATAGGAGGGATCTCGCGAATCGTTATCTGTTTTTACGTATTTAGAGTAATCAAGAAATCTATGGTATTATCGATGGACATAGAAAAACAAAATCATGAGAAATGGCACGAAATATGCTATTTCTCAACGGCCGCTGATAGAGCCGTTTGAGCATATTTTTTGTTCTTGACAACGTTAGGATAACGTGCTTATTTTTCATAAAAACGCAAAATTAATGCCGTTATTTTGTATCGCATTTACAACGACAAGAATGAAAATGATATCAGAATTGTTGTACCAAAGTATTGATTTCGGAACGCTTGAAGAGTTTTATTACCATTGAAACGGAAAAATTTGCATTGCAATTGTCCTCAGTTTTTTCTTACAACTGACTGTTTTGTTTTCGCGGACGGTTCAGTTCCACAATTTTACTACTTTCTATCACGTACAGTAGTTTCTATCATCATGTATCATAATCAAGTAGGGTTGGAACTGTTCATTTCAGAAAGACTACTTACAAATATAGTAACAGTTCTAGTCGTAACTGAAAAAGATGACAAATATGATCGATTGTTGAACTATCCCCCCCTAAACTCATTTGATTGATGTTTTTGTTTCCTCTAACCTCTATTCATCTCGAACGTTCTTTTTATTTCCCGACAGATCGAAATGTATTGTATGCGTACTTTTTCTCTTGTTCTCTTTTTCTTCCACACACATTAGTTCTGTTCTGTTTCTCAAATTGCTAGTACATGAATACATGTATATATGGATGCGTGTGTGTATGTTTTATACGATGCCCCATATTTTTTCTTCTCCTTTTTCTTTTTTCTTTTTCATCGGCTCACAACACTGGTGCTGCATCTTATTACGCGTATATGTTGTAGATGAACAAGAGTGTCTGTGTGTGTGTATGTGTGTGTGTGTGTGTGTGTGTGTGTTAGTTGATGTATATAACAAACAATTTGACGAGAAGACTAGGCGATTAATTCATATATATGACCGAAGATGTTACGTTCGGTTCGTTTAATATCTAGTAAGTTATTTGAGAATCAGTCAGAGACAGTTTTCGCTGCAGAAACCAAAACAAATCAGCTATATTATTAGTTAATGCGGTTATAGCATTTCCAAATGGTTTCCTGAACAATATTGTTGTTAGTCGATTGTTGCCTGTATTGCAATATGTGTTTTCTGGAAAGTATCTCTAACCTTCATTCTTTCATGTTTTACTGTTATTTCTTTCTCGGTTAACTAATTTCTAACTCACGAATGCATTACTGTTTTGACCAATCTTATTCATCCGTCTGTTACACCGTTATTGTCTTTCATTCTTTGTTCTTTTTCTTTCGTTCTTCTTTGAATTATTTACATCGCACGTCATCTAGTCCATATTACGTAATTAAGTAGGCAACCAACGTGCTTTTTCTCTCGAGTACACGTTGAAAAGAGAAAAAGAAATTACTAAGTAGTACTACAGTTTTTACACAATAGAAAGCTATCATTTCCGTTCTATCGTAACAACGAAAAAAACAAGTCGTTCTCTAGCAGCATCAAGGACAAAACTAAAAGTAAACTGAAAAAAAAGATAAGCTTTTTTCTCACGTGACCGACTACTCAAACAGAACTGTACTTCGATTGAAAAACAAACGCGCTCACATTTTCTCTATTCATCATGTGTTTGTTGTTGCCATAATTCTTCTAGATACTCTATACTTACAGCCATTTTTCTTATTGTCGTTTGTTATTGTGAACTTGTTTCTAATCCAAATAACAATGACATTATGTTGTATCGAAACAGATGACACTGTTTGTCAAACATTGCCTTGTTTACCCTCTCTAATCAAATGGAATATAATAACAACGAGAGATGATAATAACAACAACATCCAACAACCAGTGAAAGAAGAGCCATCGGCTCTTGATGAAGATGTTAGACGTTTGATGTCGGCTCTTGGTCTGAAATCAAAGCAACGACAGAAACTAATAGAAACTTCGTCAAAAGCACTCATACGAGTCCCATTACCTATCATTCCGTTCAAACGTCGAACTCAAAAAGGACTTGCACATGGAATAAATCAAGTGAAACCTCTATGCCTTTTGAGTTTGAGAAAATATGATGTTCGAGAACCAATTCAGTTTGTTGTAACGGATTTGAAAAAAATATCCGTTGTGAAGCATTATGAAAACTATTGCGTCACTGACACCTTAAAAATACCTAACAAGCAAACAAAAAGATCGGTACAAAAGAATTCAAGCATGTCGCTTTGTCCTCCACAACGTCAAGATGTTCTAAGATCTAAACATAGAAAAGGTAATGGACAAATGTTTTTTTCATAATAACTCGAGATCTTAGAAGCTAAAATTGAGAATACTGTGGATTGTGTGATGTCGTTCGACATTAAAAAGGTGCAATTGATTCCTCCGATACACAGTTGATTGTTTTAATATTTTGTAAAAACATAACAGTTGTATCGATAGCATTATTGTACAATTCAAAATACTTATAGCGTTTGGTTTTCCGGAAAACCTTAGTAGAGTTCCTTCGGAGATCGTCTTGAATCGAAAAATCTTGTTTTTGTTTAGATGTTGGATTGAAGAAACGTCTACAAAGTCGCCCAGTTTCAGAAAATATCACATTAAGAGAATGTAAAATTGTCTTGCAAAGATTAAACAGAAGTTATGTTGAAGATATAATACAAATGCAACAGGTAAAATAACGTTTTCAGAAAAATTTCGAGAGGAATACTAAAATCATATTTAAATAGCGTTCGCTTCTTTCTGCTATTTTTGAAAATTGTGGTTGAAATAGGCGAAAACGAATCTATCGCTCACATTTGAGAAGTAAGTAGGAGTTTTAACCGCAATTAGTGTTTTGTGAGTTAGGCTGCTTTTGACTGCAATTACTTCTTGTCAAAATTGACTTTTATCAGTATAAATAAATGAAATTTCATGTTAGAGACTGGCTGAAAAGCAGAGTTGTTCTATCTATTCCTTAGTTCTTTTCATATTTAGGCTGAATCTAAACTAAAATCTTCACCTATGATAAAATCGAAAACAGCAGTAACTACAATACTAAAAGTGAAAAAGCTTCGATCTAGAAAGAAGAAATGTCATATCAAACGATCACCTTCACCTTCGAATGAAAATAAACCACAATTAACACTATCAACGATCAAACGAAAAGCGCTCCCATTCAAATCACCATGTGATCTTACTGAATTAACAAATTCTAACACAACAAAACGTCAGAAAACGATTACTGTAAACAACAGTGATTACCTGACTGAGAATGTGACCAAAGTTCCGTTGCTGCAAACAGTACATCCATTCAAATTCGACAGTATCTGTCTGAAATGTTTCATTTGTAACATTCGACAAGTTCTTTCGTTTGGTACTCTAACGTACGATCTTCATTCACATTGGCAACTACACAAAAAGTTGAATGTCACATATAATATCTACGATACAGTTATGGACAAGAAATGCTTTCGGATGGTAGAATATTTCATACCACCGCAGCATCCTGCAATGGAAGGGAGACCATTGGACATTTTCGTTACTCACGGCAAAGAGCTACAACAAGAACAAGTAGTGATCATTAGTGACGATGAAAATGAGGACGTTATTTGTCTCGACTAAAAACTTTGTCTGCTTGTTGAGTGTGCTTTGTGATTTGATGAAATCACAATTCAACTGAAGAGAAAAATGTTGATGCAGTTTTACTCGGCTAGATATTCTCTCGTTGTCTAGAGACAGTAGAGAAACGGAAATTTGTCTGCATCTTTTTTTCGAAACTATTGGTTTCTGACAGATCTGTGGCCAGGAAATCTAGTCTTCGTCTTAGTCAAAGCGATCTTGTTATGTTTACGATGGCAATTTTTCTATTTCTCATGTCTGTCGTTGAGTCGGTCATAGTCTATTATTTGTAAAAGGCTAATTGAAAATCTGTTTCATCGCCGTCATTAACAAATTAATGAATGCTTATTGATCCATCACATACGTCGAGTGAAATACCAATTATTGCGATTTATTAGTCAAATTTTCTTGTTTAGTAAATAAATGCACATATTATCGTATATATTGTATCTTTATGCTCATCAATTCTAAGTTTAAATAATATAATCTCAATTTTACAATCATAATTCATGAAAGGAAGTATTTTCTTTCACGCAAAGAAATTGGCATGGAAAAAAAACGCACAATAGTCACTAATTTATTAGCAGAAAAATGTCTAATAAACAGATTAATCGGCTTTTGCCCAATGATCGTTTAAACGATCGTTACTTTCGTGATCTACAGTCACTCAACAGTAAATTTTATAAATCATTTGATCTGACACTGTCTAAAACACATCCTCTATCCTATTCTATGTATTATCATGAATGTTTGAGACTAGATTGCTGCACATGCAGTTCCTTGTCAAAAATAAGGCCACGAATATTTTATTTTCATGTAAAAAGTGCACTTGCAGGTGGGAGTCCATAAAATTCGATATCCTTAGCTCCTAGATACTTCACGGAAGCTACCATCAAAGTTCATCAACTTTCAGAACTTTGGATGCAAACGGTTTAAGTTAACGTGCAAAATTTCTGTTTTGTGCATTTTTCAACAATCAGAAAGGTCAAAAGTTGTCAGACTCTCGACAACGCTTTTTTGAAGACTAAATATTTACTGTCTTGCACCTCTGATGCTTTTCAAAAAAAAAAATTAACGTTTTCAAAACATTACTTTTTTCGTAAAATCGGACCTTCGTTCGTAGGTTCGTAGAAAAAATTTCAGTGAATAGTTTTTCAATATAATACTCATTATGTTATACATGGTTTGATGCAACTCGACACGTTAGTTTCGAATATGCCATTTTTATTGAAGAAAACTGCGTTTTTTTTGCAAAAAAATGGATCCTGTAGTGAAACCTAAGCAAAATATCGCTATCTGCACGCATGTAGTACATGTAGAAGAATATTATAGTATTATAATATTACAGAGTTCGAGCCAATGTGAAGCTTCAAGGAATTTGGAACAGTCATTATACTAGGAGAAACTACTCTTATTTAAGATCCTGAACAAAAATTTCTCCGCTGTTAAATAGTCCAAAGCGCCTAGATTCATAATCTGTATCGTTTTTGTTTATTACCTTGTTCTATACAATAAAAAGAAGATTTCAACCTACAGCCCTATTCAGCATGACTTTCTGACTGAGCGTTTTCTCACGATCCTTAGTAGTTGGAACAAAAAGTTTTATGGTTCATAATGGCTCATATCTTGAAGTATATTACCGAAGTCAATCTGAAAAAATCTCACTTTTAATCTTTTACAAATGTCCGCCTAGATGCCAGGCATGAACAAGAACAAGGTAATAAACAAAAATGATACAGATTATGAATCTAGACGCTTTGGACTATCTAACAGCGGAGAAATTTTTGTTTAGTAATTTGGAATAAGACGGAACCCTTTTAGGTTTATAGGCGTGATAAACCCTTTTCGATTTTGTAAAAGATATCTAAAGATTTTTTAAAATTCGAAAAAGGTTTTAGAAAGTACAAGAACGGTTTTCTAAATGGTTTCAAAAACCTTTTGGGTTTAGTACGAAGAATGAAATACCTGTTTTGCCTCCCCCCCTCCCATAATAAAAGACCACCCAGCCTTCTATTTTGTCCCGCAAGTCGAGTTCTAAAGGGTAGTCTTCTATTGCGGTCAAATTGTCTCCTGGTAGTAGTCCAACGGTAACCCCAACGTACTTGAAGTCCATCCCCCATCAGAAACTAAACTAAACCTACTAAATCTTTTTTTAGGGTTTCATAATATACGCTTCTTTTTAGAGAGTAGGTACTCTCCTGCGCTTATTTTGTGTCAAAAGCTTTCAGAGTTTTCTGAGGCTTCGTTCTGGCTCAAACTTTGCACAAACTCATTTAAATTATATCGCTCTATTTATTTCTAATAGAACTTGTTGATGTATGTTAGTCATCTGTTCCACAACATTCAATTATCCGTCAATATTTTCGAAAAATACAGTTTATACCAAATCGCATGCAAGTTATACTGTGAGAAAAATACGTGACCACGAATAAAGAAGAAATAGAAGAAGACCGTAGTATTGTAAATGAAAAAAACAATTAACATTCATTATCAATATAAAGCGCGTGAAAATCCTTTTAAAAACAAACTGTAGATCAAATTATATCTGATTAACAGCTTTTTTTAGTTTGTAACACATTTATTCAGTTGAAGACAAACAGACAATCAAAATTTTTTATTAGAATAGAAGATCATCCACTCATGAACTGTCATTCTACGGATGGACGGTTTCGAAGGTTGATCGATAAACTAAAGAAAAATCAGTATAGAAATGAAAAAAATGATGATGAATGAAGCCGAACAAATCAAACGCTACATACCGGGTAGCCCAGAATAAATGATACCTTCAGTATTTTCTAAATAACTTAGCCATTTCAAACTCGTCCAACCTGCGGGTTTTTTCAGTGAATTCTCCATCCAATTTACTGTAAATCCATCGATAAATGGCTTTTGTGGAATGAGAAAGAACGAAGTTACGAGCGAAATACAAAAGGCGAAATTTGATTTTGTTAGTTACCAAAATGTCTGCCATTCAGCTGAAAAATGTTGTTTTTGGACATTTATTTTTATTTGAAAGCTAACAGCGTCAACTACGACCTACCTTTCTCACGACTCAACGGTTGCAAAATTTTTGTCACTGTTCTATTTAAGCGGAAACATAAATTAGAACGATTTAACAATGTTATCCCAAAATCTTATTTTTTGTACTTGAAGTTTTTGTTACAGAGATACATTTTATAGTGCATCGGAAAGAGCACACTTTAGTCTATTGCAAAATGTCTCTCTGACATTTTGACACTGAGATTTAATGGCAAAAACAGGACCAGATATCTTCATTAGTTTGTACCTGAAAATTGTCAAATTTTTCGCTTTTTGTATTTCCTGTACAACTCTGTCGTTTTTCATTTCACAAAAGCCGTTTACCGTTGGGTTTGTAGTAAATTGAATGAAGAATTTACTGGGAAAAAACCGCAGGTCGAACGGGTTGAACTGGCTAAGTTGTTTACAGAATACTGAAGGTAGCATTTATTCTGGGCCACCCGGTAATTGAAAAAATAAAAACATAATGACTGATAAATTTGTATGAATATTTAATCATGTACAAATATGAGATAATATTTGGTTATATCTATGTACGCAACAGATTTATCTATGTGTCTTGTTGATTTCTGAGATCAAAAATGGGACAAGTGAAAATCAAAAAACATTTGATATATGCCACTATTTCATCCAGAAAGCGTTACCTTTGCTTTGTCACAGCTTGCCTAATAACTGAGCCTTCTGCTCATCATCATAGACTAACGGAAAATTAGTGGAGCCATAGTTTAAAACCGCCAAAAACAAATGTGGCACTTGTAGTGCAAAGATAATATAGAACATATCAGCAGCCAGAACTTGAACGATGAAAACTTTAAACTTTTGAGCGAAGTTTTAGCATCTGAAACTTCCTTTTGTAAACAATGCTGGATTACGCTGCGTGGGACAATGAATCACAGTGGACGAGTGTGACTTTATGCAGCACCTTGACAGATAAGTTGGTTTCTGTTCGCTGTAAAAATTATCGGATGTCTTCGGCAAAAAAGGTTTGATTAATCATTTATGTTTTTGCAGATATAAAATCTCGTGCGTTTTATACCTCAATCGGCTCATAAAAATCAGTTTGCAATTACCATTAACTTTTACCGGAAAAAAAGTTATTTACAGGAAAATACATTGAATTACCAAGGAAATAGATTATGATGCAGCTTTTGACGCTCTTTTCAATGGCAAAGCCTAAACTTTCCAACAATGTCGACTTTTTGCCACTGACCAACTTTAATGGAAAAACTAGTGTTTTCTATTCCGATCGGACTATATGATTTTTGGCGATATCCCGATTAGGATATAAGTCGTACTTCTCTACTGCCAAGTCAGAAGGACTAGAATACTTTATAACAGTGCCGCATAATACGCCGTATTTTTATGCTTTTGAAAGACACGAGTACTTTCCTCGCCAGATACGTACATGCGCCGTTCTCATCCTCGTGTAATAATTTCAGAAAATCAGCTAGACAAAGACAAAGATGCCAGAAGTCAGATAGCAACTGACATCTCCATTTAGCTAGGCGTGATAAAAAGAACAGATGAGGTAGTTTGGGAGTGTGGCTCTTGCACCCAAAACACAAGAAAATACATCTCAGATCTCACTTTCATAATACAATGATACTTTTAGGCTTTCGTATACCAACAAATCAAATGCCTAATTCTAATGATACTTCAAATCGAAAGAAAGATAGCAGCAACAATCAAGTGTATGATATTCCAACAACCGTCGAACTATTAAAGGCATTATTTGAGCGTGAAAATTATAGTTTCAGTTCATTCTCATCAGCTGATCATAATGAAATAGTTAAAAAAACTATCGAAAATTTCGAAAAACAAAATCAAATAAAACCATCAGAATTAATTGGTAATTCTGTCCTAAATAGATTTGTAAATGATCTGTGCGCATTTTTTAGCAATTCTCCTTACTCTAATAGCGTTAGTACTATTAACGATTGTGGCACTATTAACTATGAGATTTATTCAGCTCGATCATTAAACGCATTATCGTTGTCATCATCTGCTGCTGCTTCATTTAATAATGAATTTAAATCAATTTGGTTTTCTAAATCTATGATTGTTGGTGACGCTCGTCGCATATTATCTACTGTATTATATGGTACAACCAATAATACATTACCTGCTGAGTTTGCTGAACATATGTTAGTATATGAAAACATTATGATTCCACTGGAAAATGATAGTAAATTATTATTTGAGGAAATCTTAAAAATTTCATTTTGATGAAATCGTATTCCATTTCTTCCATTTCGATTATTAACTCTACATAAAACTCAATTATTATTACTAGAGCGTAAAGAAGCAAAGCCAATATTAGCAGAAAATCAATTAATTCGATTTTAGAATTAATTATGCATCACTTAGTTGTAATCAGTATAAACCAATCAAAAGGTAATGATTCTGCTACAACTTCTTGTAGTAACAATGACGATGTAAATTATGCATATTGGCCAATAATTGAAGTTAAAATGGGAATAATTCCTACTTCGCAACTAATTTATTCATGAAGACACAATGAATTATGCCAAATTATTGCCAAAATTCAACAAACTAATAATGTATCCTAGCTCAAAAATTGAATTCGGTACTTGTGTAACAATACTAGAAAAGATATTTGCTCGAGCTAATGTTGGTACATTAAATGTTAATTTAATTGCGAAATCTTCATCAAAATTATTACAAGTATATGATTATCCATTGTTAGTAGCATTACCCTATGATCGTTTAATAATGTGTCAATTTAGTAAAATTCAGTGTTCAGATGGTCAATGGGCTCAAGGTGTAATGGTTAATGGTAAACATTATTCATTGAATGAAAATGCATATAAACATATGTCACAATTAAAAATTGATCGAGATTCTATTATTCAATTAAGATTCAATGTTTAATCTGACACTATTATAGATGGAAATATATCATCTTCAGTCATTGACAACAAAGCAAAGATCAATGAACTTTGCAAACAGAGCTCAATAGTAAAATACAATAAAGTTGATCTGAAACAATATCAATATTCGGCTGAATTTGATAATAGTGCTGTTTGTCTAATGTTTCAACCTAAAGCTATGGATTTTAATTGAATCAAATAAAGGATCATTACAATCAAATTTTAGATGATAATCATAATTTATTTCAAGCAACTCAGACATTTTTTAGTTCTGCTTCGCTAATTAATAAAGTTTCAACTTCCTCATTATCACCGATAGATAAACTTGAATGTATTATTTGTTTATCATTGATAAACGACGATAATTTGGAATGCCCCCACTGTAGACAAGTATTTTGCAGAGCATGTCTTTATAAGGATGCAGATGGTGATTGTCCAGTATGTAACAAACAGGTAAAATTAACAGCATATTGGAAATTAACTATTATCAGAAAATTTGGAAAGGAATCGGCGGTCAAATGTTTAATTTGTAATTCAATACCACAAGAACATAGACTATGTCCTGATCAAGAATGTTCAGCTTTGTACTGTTATAATTGTATAAAAGCAAAGGAAAATAAATCATCATCTATTACTCCTACGGTTTCTATTTCCAAGAAAACTATTAAATGGCATCGTTGTAAGGAGACTGATATGTATATAAGCCGTACCGTAACATGTTACACTGATCGTATCATTGAATGTCAAATAGCACAAGAATCAGAATCGAATTCGGCAAAAGCTCTAGTAACTAGACCACTATCAAGTACTTCATGGAAACATGAAATCTCACACCTGAAAGAGGAACAATATAAGAAAATCATAATCGGGTAACATCAGTTCTTGAATTTAATGGTGAACATATTAAATTTGAAAATAAAGTAGAAAATCGTCCCTTATTAATAATCAATGAATCGCCCAAATATATGTGTCCTGAAAGTCTTTGTCTGAGCTATTGGAATATTCAAAATGAAGTCAATCAATGGGAAAATGACAATGATGTTAAATTTTATGAATATACTCAAAGTTCAATTGCTGCAAACATACCACATGTTTCAGATTTTACAGTTCGTAATATTAGATTTACTAAGCATATTGCATTAGATACAACAGTTTTAGATCCATCTTATGATTATGATTTCACGAACATAAATGATGCGGGTATAAGTTACCAACATGGTCCTGAATATTACAAACGACCCTGTGGATGGTATAGAAAAGCTATTAAAGTACTTGAAAACGCTGCATGGTTAGATACTGGTATAGATTCATGGCCTGTAGGTTACCGTGGCACATCAACTTCAAATGCTTTATCGATATTACGTAATGTTTTGATGGCAGGTGGTAGTGGAGGTGTGGCTGTAACTAATGGCACTGCTTACGGTCCCGGTATATATTTATCACCTGATCATATTCTAGTACTGAAAATTATTCTAAATCATTACTTGCTGGAAATGGTAGATAATATCAAATCATGTTTCAAGTTAGAGTTAAACACGGTTGAATAAATGGCTTTTAAATGGCTGAGCCATTTATACACTTCCTAGAATAAATGGCTCCTATCGTGCAAAGAAAAAATGTGTCCGAGGAGGGAATTTCTAGCATAAACGGCTTTTTTTCTCGAATAAATGACTAAGCCATTTATTGCTTCCTAGAATAAATGGCTGTATGAGCGACGAGAAAAGCTTAGCACTGGAGTTCGTTCCCTAGACAAAAAAAGTTTGTGAAATCGTATAAGAATCTCACAAGAATTCATAAGAAATTGGTAAGAGTCAGCAAAACTCGTACGTTATTCTTATCAGATTGTTATACGATTCTTATAAAATTCTTGTAGGATTCTTATGAGAAACATGATTGAGTCTCCTACAGAAAATTCCCAGTATAGTGCTGAAAAACGTCCGGCACCACTAGTGCGGACGGCATGCTATGTTGCACCGGTACGTACTAGTTCCACATTTTTCCAGTCACCGTTTGTTATCTACGATTGCACTATGTTTTACTCGGACTTTTCTTCGAGATTATAGTGCAATGAAATTTTAATGCGAGCAGACAATGCTTTAATCTTGTTATAATCTTTATCTGAAAAGAAAAAATCAGTATAAATAGCGAGTAAGGTAGTAAATTCAGAGGATGTACACAGTAAATTCAGCTCTAATTTTCTAGTGTAAAAAAGTACCTTATATAACAGACTCTGTTTTACGTCTCGTTTAAAATGAGGAAAAAACGTTCGTATCGTCAATCATACACGTGGCGAGTGTATATGTATACGTTTATATCATGTGGATAAGCACGTGGAGCAATCTATTTTTTTCTAACAGTTTGAAGAAACATGCTTCCTATAGACGTATACGCACGGAAGATTGGGGTTCAGCCATTCCGCCTCATTCGCAGAATATTAGATTGGCTCTAATAACGAACTGATCCTAGCGATAATATATACGGACATACATTCTCTGCAAGTCCATGCGTGAATGTTTTCTTCGCGTGTGGCTAGCGTTACCTTACGGTAAACCTCACAGGCAAGCTATAAACCATTTAACCACTCTCACTTTTATTCTGAGATCAAATGTCAGTTATATGGCAAACCGTAATTGAGAAATACAAAAAAAAGCTATTAATACGGTCCCTCTAATATCCCTCTAAAAATTTTTTTTCCCAGAACACTCAATCTTACTGAAATTTTTATTGAATATGTATCTGACCATTGATAGTTTTCAGTAAAAATTTGAGCTCATAATATTGAGTTTTTCGCGAGTTATTGTAACATCAAGGGTCAAAAAGTAGGTGTCCGTGTGTCAAAGATTTTGTTTTCA